ACATGAGTTTCATGTTTGGGGAAGATAATTTTCACCATAACAATGCACCTTCATAATAAAAGCATTACATGCATAATCACATTTGTGGTCACTTTTGATAATGGTGTTTTCCCTCTAATGGAACATTCACGCTTATAGCCTACTGCTGTGTGCGCATTGCTGCGCTTATAATGTTAAGAAATAGCCTAATCGTTTATCATTATTTTAAGCTAAACACTCTGATCTGTTGCGTCAGCCTCATTGCGTAAAAAAGGTTTTTTGATGCTACTGGTTGTATTAATTTGGGATCTATCGCATCCCACAACTGTCCCAGACTATGTTTGGAATCTTTTTTTCTCGCACAGAATAGGTCAACTTTTGTACTATGGGGGATAGTAGATTGACATAGGCTAGTGGTTTTGCTGTTCGTTAGGCCTACTCATCTTGTTGTCTGACGAAAAGTAAATGTGGACAGTTCTTCCAATATCTTCAATATGTGCCTCTGAATTGGATAAGGATGCGCGCAGTTGCGTCCCCAATGTGTCTCTCTTCACTTGTAGTCACACCCGGTCACGTAACGGAGAGCCATGTGAGTGAGAGGTGCTTCGAGCACGCAGCCGGGAGAAGGGAATTATAATTATTATATTCATCCCAAGGGCCACTGGCCGCAAAAAGCATGGATTGTTTTAGGGGGCATTACGGCCACACAAAGGGGATGCCGCCGGGAAATTCTAGACATTATCAAGTGCTTGTCAAATTGAGAATGAGAGACTGATGAAGTGTGTACAGCCTGCGCAAAAAAAACAAAGCAGAGCTCATGCCTTTCATGCAACTTTTTTCAAATCATCATTAGAGTCGCATCATGCAGCCTTAGAATGTATACAAAATCAAAACATATATCCCAACGTTTGTATCACAACTACAGTTACATAAATAACTCTAAATTAAGCATATAGGAGTACCTGTTTCTTTGTTAACCGCTCAACACAGAATAACCACATGTGCGCACTCCCTCAAATCGTTTGGAGAAAATATCCTTTCTATCTTATTCAGCCATGTTCAATTGTATTCTTCATACTATAAAATAATATAAAATAATGCCACAGAATTCTAAGCAAATCTTGTCTGCTAAATTAACTAGTGTAGCCCACAGCCATATGGCATAGCCAGATCAGGGCCTTACATAAGGACAACTCAGAGTATGCTATTCTGTTCTTCTGAAATAGACTACATTTTATTCATATCATGTTTCTTTAGAGCTTTTGTGATGGTGTATGTTATATTAAATGAATTTATTAGATGTTTTAAAATGTAGATGTTCCAAGATCTGCATCAGTGGATGGTAGGCTATGTGTGGATGCCAGGAGATTCTAAATTAATTAACGGTCAATTACCGTGAGACCGGCAGTTATTTGCTTGACAATCACTGGCTGACGAAATGTAATGACCGCCACAGCCCTACTCACACACACTGCTTTTAACATATTGTTTTCAACTTACATATTTTATACACTTTGACATCCATGATTGCACTGTGCATGTTCATTTACAGTAATTATTATTCAACATGTCCTCACCTGGGATTTAAACTCACAACCTCTTGGTTCATGGCATTTGTATTTATTATGGATCCCCATTAGCTGCTGCCAAGGCAGCAGCTATTCTTCCTGGGGTTCAGCAAAATTAAGGCAGTTATACTTTTTAAAAACATTACAATACACAGATTTCACAACATATTAAGTGTGTGCCCTCAGGCCCCTACTCTACTACCACATATCTACAACACAAATTCCATGTGTACGTGTGTGTATAGTGTGTCTGTTATTGTGTGTTTGTGTGCATGTGTCTGTGCCTATGTTTGTGTTGCTTCACAGTCCCCTTAATTCCATAAGATGTATATTTATCTGTTTTTTAAATCAAATTTTACTGCTTGTATGAGTTACTTGATGTGGAATAGAGTTCCATGTAGTCATGGCTCTATGTAGTACTGTGCGCCTCCCATAGTCTCAGGTGGCATGTCTTGTGGGGTATGCATGGGTAATTGCGACAAAGCTGTGTGCCAGTAGTTCAAACAGACAGCTCGGTGCATTCAACATGTCAATACTTCTCACAAATACAAGTAGTGATGAAGTCAATCTCTCCTTCACTTTGAGCCAGGAGAGATTGACATGCATTTTAATGTTAGCTCTCTGTGTACATCCAAGGGCCAGCCGTCCTGCCCTGTTCTGAGCCAATTGCAATTTTCCTTAGTCCCTCTTTGTGGCACTTGACCACACGACTGAACTGTAGTCCAGGCGCGACAAAACTAGGGCCTGTAGGACCTGCCTTGTTAATAGTGCTGTTAAGAATGCAGAGTAGCGCTTTATTATGGACAGACTTCTCCCCATCCTAGCTACTGTTGTATCAATATGTTTTGACCATGACAGTTTAAAATCCAGGGTTACTCCAAGCAATTTAGTCTCCTAAACTTGCTCAATTACCACATTATTCATTACAATATTTAGTTGAGGTTTAGGATTTAGTGAATGATCTTCCTGCTACTCCACCATGTCTGTGTCAGTTATCAGTTAAATTGACTATTCTCTCATCATTGATTTGACTTATTTCAATATTAACCTTCAACTATACTAGCCCAATAAGCACATGCCCTAGAGCTATCCCTTATTGGGACAGTGGTTAGGGTGTTTGTCATTGGTGCTGATGACCTGGGTTCGAGACCTGCTAGGAGAAATACCCTACTCTCACATTCTTAGCAATATATGATATTGCAATTTTGGATTGTATTCATCAGACTTGTTTATATGGACATAATGTGTATATATTTCTCCTCTTTCACATATTTCTGGAACTTTGACTACCTCTTTCACACATTTCTTTGGCCAAAGTTCCAGAAATGCGTCAAATCAAAAAGGTAAAAAAAGTATTTTTAAGCTTTGAGACAATTGAGACATGGATTGTGTATGTGTGGATTGTGTATGTGTGCCATTCAGAGGGTGAATGGGCAAGACAAAATATTTAAGTGCTTTTGAATGGGGTATGGTAGTAGGTGCCAGGCGCACCGGTTTGCAACGCTGTTGGGTTTTTCACGCTCAACAGTTTCCTGTGTGTATCAAGAATGGTCCACCACCCAAAGGACATCCAGCCAACTTGACACAACTGTGGGAAGCATTGGAGTCAACATGGGCCAGCATCCCTGTGGAATGCTTTCGACACCTTATAGAGGTGGGGCAGGTAGCTTAGTGGTTAAGAGCGTTGTGCCAGTACCCCAAAGGTCGCTGGTTCTAATCCCCGAGCCGATTAGGTGAAAAATCTGCCGATGTGCCCTTGAGCAAGGCACTTAACCCTAATTGCTCCTGTAAGTTGCTCTGGATAAGAGCGTCTGCTAAATGACTAAAATGTAAATGTAATAGAGTTCATGCACCAACAAATTGAGGCTGTTATGAGGGCAAAAGAGGGTGCAACTCAATATTAGGAAGGTGTTCCTAATGTTTTGTACACTCAGTGTATGTTAAAAGCACTGTTTGTGTGAGTATGTCTAACCTTGCCAACAGACAAAGAGCTATAAATGGATCAGGGGTTCACCAATCAGTGCTGTGATTATGAACTTTTTTTTCCTTCCATGAAACGTGTCTAAAACATGAATATCTTATGTTCTGAGAACATGGCAACCATGTTCTGTGTATGTTTGGTGGGACGTTGATGGAATATTCTCAGAATCCACAGAAAACTGGACACATTAGTGTTCTTGCAATGCTCTCATTTAACATTTCTAGAACATTAATATCTTAAGTTCTGAGAGCATGGTAACCACATTCTCAGTAAATTATATTTGACATTAAGGGAATGGACTCTTGGAAACATTCCTTGCAAATCACGGGAACATTCCTATGAAAACGTTATGACTCTTAAGGGAACGTTCTCTTAAGTTGTGGGAACGTTTGTTGTTAGCTGGGTTTTTATGTAAGTGCATTCAGTAAGAGAAAGTGGAGAGAGAAAGAGATAGATGTGGGCGTTGGGGTTGGCTTTGATGTCAATATGCCAACAGCTATATTCCCTGAATACTGTATGCTGTTTGCTGCTTCTCCCTCCACACAACAGAACTGACCCAATATGGATGTCAATAATATTGACTTAAAGCATTATGAATAAGTAAACATAAAGCATAAATTAACCCATTCCTGGGGGAAAAAAATAACGGTCTCTGTGTCTCTCTCTCTCTGTCTGCCTCTCTTTTTTTCTCTCTCTCCTTTTCTTGCATCAAATCTTCTTCAGGACTACATTTACAGGTCCTGGGGGCAAAACAGGTTTTCGACACGACAGCCAATCCACTTATCCACCCACCTATCTGCTGACCACACTGTGCAAGGGGAGCACACACTTTCCCTAGTTATGCATAAACACACGTTAGTTGTTACACATTTTCAGTTCGTAATGGTGAACAGCTATCTAACCAACACAAGTCATGACATGAGCAGGTATCCATGGCTACACTGTATCAAAGCAATTGAATAAGATTTCTTCACCAATTTACTGCTTACGGTATGTTTGTCAGACAATAATATAACATTAGGCATTACATTGCAGGACTGCATTGCATACAAATGACTATGTTTCATATGTCCAAGGTTTGGAACTATGGATCCATCCTCATATACAGTACATCTAAGTACAAACACTGACTGAAGCCCAACGCACACAATGTATAGTCATTACTGTAGCAGTCACTGCCTAACTGCCATAGACTAGATCCATATGGATCTGTTTGCAATAGAGTCCACAACAACAAACCACTGTGGACACCCACACAGCCATACCTTTGGAGGTCACAGAAAAGAGAGGGAAGAGGCCCATGCTGCCACTCACCCATTGAACTCAAAGAAAATGTTATAATTTAGGCCTTAAACCCAAAACATTGGCACAAAATAAACAAGTGATATTTGTGCAGGAGCTTATTTTCTTTGAACTATTAGTCCAAATTTCACACACATATGCAAAGCAATCCATATTTCACTAGTTGTAACTCACCCGCTGACCACCACGATGAAGTCCATGATATTCCATCCATTCCTCAGGTAGGAGCCTTTATGGAACACAAAGCCCAGGGCCACCAGCTTGATTCCAAACTCAAAGCAGAAGATCCCGATGAAGTAAGGCTCAGTACACTCCTGTAGAGGAAGAGACAACATGGATACAATAGGATATCAGAGGGCCAGGAGCCAAGATGGCACCCTAGTTACCCTACAGGTGTAGGATCTTAATTTGAGCCAGCAGGAAAATAATCCTCCAGCAACAGGAAATGTTAATTATTTTAGGGGTTAATACATTTTTCGTTAGGGCAAATCAAGTCTGAAATTTCAAAATGGAATTGCAAACTTTAGAAACCTTTAAAAAAATCAAACACACTACAACTTTGCATTTCCTCAGGAAAATTCTCAGCAACAAAAGAGTCATCAAATTAAGATCCTAAATCTGTATATAATGCCCTATGGACCCTGGTCAAAAGTAGTGCACAATTATACAATGAGTGTTCAAAACATTATGAACACCTGCTCTTTCCATGACATAGACTGACCAGGTGAATCTAGGTGAACGCTATGATCCCTTATTGATGTCACTTGTTAAATCCACTGTAGATGAAGGGGAGGAGAAAGGTTAAAGAATGCTTTTTAAGCATTGAGACAATTGAGACATGGATTGTGTATGTGTGCCATTCAAATGGTGAATGTGCAAGACAAAATATTTAAGTGCCTTTGAACAGGGTATGGTAGCAGGTGCCAGGCGCACCGGTTTGTGTCAAGAACTGCAATGCTGCTGAGTTTTTCACACTCAACAGTTTCCCGTGTGTATCAGGTATGGTCCACCACCCAAAGGACATCCAGCCAACTTGACACAACCGTGGGAAGGATTGGATTCAACATCGGCCAGCATCCCTGTGGAACGCTTTCGACACCTTGTAGAGTCCATGCCCCGACTAATTGAGGCTGTTCTGAGGGCAAAGGGGGGGAGGGGGAGTATACATTGTACACTCAATGTATATAATATATAGATTAACTATCTTCAAAGTAATGACTCAGAACGTCAGTTATTTTAGTGAATTAAATAATTAATGTTACATTTTACCACTTTAGACTGTACAAAACAATAAAAGAAAGGTAGCTAGCGCACTGCAATGTGAATAACTTGTTGGATTCATTCAGAACTTCTTGTTCTCACTTTCTGCCACAAGGCATTCTGGTACTTGCAGTTTTTTTTTTACCAATAGGCCTACAAAATAAACATTCTAATAGTTCTCAATCACATTAATTGCAATGCAATACAATGACTCTTGTAAATAACATCTGTAGATCATTCTTAATTAAATTAGCTGTGCCACATTTAACTCTGTAACCCATTTACTGTAAGTTACAACACTATGGTGAATAGGTGCCATTTGAGATGCTGCCTAAAAATGTAATATAAACCAATCAAGGCCTGTAGTCTCACCAGTCTTTTGGCCATGGGAGTCTTGTCCTCCCCAGGAAGATGTTGCTCCAGGGCCAGAACGATGCAGTTGGCCGTGATGGTCGCCAGGATCACCCACTCAAACGGTGTAAGGGCCACAAAGTTAAGGAAAGGGCTTTTTTACACTATCATATACAGTACACAACAATCATTTGACAAACACATGATAGTGATAATGCTATTTATATTGGTGTTGGGGGGAGGGGCATATCATTACAATGGAATCTATTATACTTCTATGGCTGTGGATGTTGGTCGTTCCAGTAAAATGAAAATTAGATGGATGGATTATCAGTTGATGGATGGATGGATGATGGAATGGTTGATATAGAGAATGGCATCGAAACAAAACAGTCCGAGATAATACAGTATCCATGGCAAAATTACAGTAACAGTTATCTGAGTGTGCTCAAAAGTCACTTTGACCTGACAGCCTCTTCCCACAGGACAACTCTTTGTGGGACCTGTTTTATGTGAAATGTGATACCCACAGATTTGCTGCTGCATCGCTGTGTGTGTGTGTGTGTGTGTGCATGTGTGTGTGTGTGTGTGTGTGTGTGTGTGTGTGTGTGTGGGTGTGTGTGTATGAGAGACTGTGTTTGTCTTGACTATGGTAAGAGGCGCCACATGGGACACTCTCTCCTTCATTATTCATTTCTAGCCTTGAGTGAAAATGGTGTCATTAACTCACTACGGTGGGATGTGGCGGGGGCCTCTGGGAGCTACTGTGAATGAGTCCACATCATGTCAGCACGACTCAAACTACTTAAAAATAGCCAATCCAGAGAACAAAATAATACTCCTCAACAAAATAATACTCTCCAGATTCATGACTCCCATTAGTCACTCACAGTCACTTGAATTAATATTCACCACCAACTACCAGACCTGGGCTCACAAAGTACAGTTTTCTTTCAAATACTTTAAGCGTTTGATTGAGCCTGCCTGGAAGTGCCAAGTGTATACGATTTGCACTTTGGGGAAAATTCTATTAGGTCCATTGCCTCATAAAAGCTCAATCAAGTGCAGAAAAAAAAACTATCTGGTCCTGAACACTCAGTCTCACAATTATACCTCCAACCCTCTGTGTTAAACTTGCCTTGACCACTCTGGTCCCACACCCACACAACAACTGGGATGATGGTTAGATAACAGCAAGCAGGAGAGTGACACAGTGTATGAGTATGATAATACTCAAAAGAGCAGTGAATTGCATTATGGAATCAATGCATTATCTGTATTGCTACAATGTAAAGCACAAGAAAGTATTGGTACAGATGTAGGATCTTAATTTGAGCCAGTTTCATACAGCAGGAAAGTAATCCTGCAGAAACAGGAAATGTGAATTATTATGTGGATTATAATTAATGGACAGTTTTGTAGGGGTTTATATGTTTTTCGTAAGATCAAGTCTGCAATTTCAAAGTGGAAATTACAAACTTCAGAAGCCTTTTTAAACCTCTATATATACACTACAAGTTTTAAATTTCCTGCATTGCAGGAAAGTTCTCCTGCAATTGGGTGATCAAATTAAAATCCTACACCTGTACGGCTATAAGAGTTATACTCTTAAGTACTAGCATTACACAACGAAGCAGTCTCTGTCTCTTTGGTGGATATTGATAGATAGCATAGAAAAGGCAACAAAAAAAACTAGTTTTGCTTAGTTAAGCAGATCACTGTAGTGGTGTAGTAGCCCTTCCTCAACTCTAAAAGTATCTGCAATGACCTACAAGGACAGATATTCATGTAGGAAAACGCATAAGTGAAAAGAATAATGCATTTGTCCTGACTCCTACTCATGTTTATATTCCATCATGCACCAAGGCAGCAAGAGATATGCCTACAACCTACACCCACAGTATGCAGAGCTGATCATCACATGCATGTTCTGTTAACTTCAGTGAGCACAGCCAGCTCACATTCACACAGCATTTTATAGCACAATAGGTAAATCTATGGGTTTGAGGGAGATGGATAAAGGTACAGAAGGTAGGCCAGCTATTTAAAATAGTTGTCATGAAAAATGGAAAAAATGATAGATTGACAGACTGACAAACAGACAGTAATATTGGACTAATAGACAAAGACAAATGTGCTGTACCTCATCAAATAACAGATTGCACAGGGCCTAATAACAGTCCAATCAAATCTGAACAACTACAGTGATGACTGAGGCCAGCCATTATATAACCTGCTAACCCAGTCAAGAATGTGAAGTCCAAACAACTAAATTCACTAAATTCCAATAGTGAAACATTTGTAGAATGGCGCACTAGATAAGTATGGCGCTTTCCATGGTGCTGAACTGCACTAAAGTCAATGTAGCTATAAGCAATACTTTTTGACAACGGAAAACTACTCTTAAGTGCTGTGATATTCAGGAGGTAAGCCTAACTTGTGAGTGAGAGTGAGTCTGTATAGTATAAGGAAGGATATGGCCATTCTATGATCCTCTTGGCAGTTTTCCGAATTAAATTGTCCTCGGCGAATATAAAGAGGGACCTGTTGACCGTGAGGCAGTTCTGCCGGTGGGGAATTGGGTTGTAAAGAGCCATTGTGCGCGCCCTCGCTGCTTTGGTTTGTTTCAGCGTCCCTGACCCTGTACCTGAAGCCGTGTCCCCGCCGTCCTCCCCGCGCTCCGGGTCCCCGGAGTCTCGGGAATCCATCGCCATCTGAACCTCGTCTCCAAACCGAGCCATTCTATGGAAGAAAAAACGAGGATGAGACTTGCTAAATGTTGTTTTCTTGTATATCAAAACAGATGAAAAAGCTAATGGGTTGAAATAGTAAAATATCCACTTTCAATCCATTGACAGCCTGAGACGACCTGTTGGAGCGCCAATATTACCCCCCAAAAAGTTACATGTAATGTCATTCCATGCTGAAGTAAACTACAAAAGGTAAAATTCGTGATGCGTTTTAATACAAATTCCATTATGTATAACGATTCGGTTACACGGATTGTAAAATCTCTCAATCTATAGCCTATCAATCATCCCCATCTGTCCGGGCGAGTGAAAAGTGATTGTCAGCCTCGCTCCAGGCAAGTTTCAACATAAGCACATCATTGGATCCACCGACTTTCTAAACATTATTAACTTGAGTTACGTACACTATAGAATGCATGTTTAGCCTAAACCAAGTTGATTTTCGTCTCCAACTACTTTAAGCATCTCCTCTCGTCCAGCCAAATTCGATATTGGTAACCTTCTGAAACGATTGGTATACTAAAACATTTTTGCATTCCTTTATCCGCTTATCAATCAGAAATGTAATTGTAGAGATAAACATTTGGCGCGATAATACTGGTTTGATAGGCGCACGCTTATCTTTCAATGTGATCACCTGCCTCTCTATGAAGCGCGAGCTCCCGCACGCTTGCGCAACCCCCTCCCACGTCTTTCAGTGTGGCAATTTTCAACATCCATCTGAATGAGAATTATCATGAGATAGAAAATCATATTTCCGTTTCCATGGCAATACATCTTTCAGCGTTCAAGGATATACGCTGACATTTTCTCAAAATTGTCACTTTCCAAAAATACACATGAACTATGCATTATATAAATCCATTATCCACACCATTTGCAGGTTCTTGTAAGTTCTACATTTATAGCAAGAAGCATAATTCATAAGGGGGTGGGTAGAAGGGCGGGGTGGAATCGCCTTTGAAATTTAAGGAACACATTAGTTATCCTATCTGTGAGCCTTATGTTATAGTAAAATACAGGTAGATACACATACTGTAGGCCTCTTTCTCTGCAATGCATTTCGAAACGTTTTCTGCAAAACATTAGGTGTGTCATTTGTACCACTAGGTGACAGTCATTGCATCAGTGAACACACCATCAACATGAACTGTAAAGGTTTCTATAGAACCACTAACATAACACTAGCCTCCCACTGGGCACCAACTGGTTAAATCAACGTTGTTAAGGTATTGTGATGTGGAATCTACATGGACAATACATTGGATTTGAAAAAAGTCATAAACTGTTGTTTTGAGGGTACATTTCTACCATAGGAATATGTCATCATGGTAACCAATTTTCATAATAGACAAATATTGTATTAAACAACATCATATCATCAAAGTAATATCAACTATAAGAAAAAAACCATAGGCCGGGAAGCACCTTCTACTGGAGAGTTGACCTATCTACAACTATGTCTTCCATCCAGGGTTTTAACCAGCCCTGCTTATCTTTGATATTTGTCACTGACTATAACCAATGTAATATAGTGAGAATGATTGTTGATAAATCTCCAATTAATAGATTCACTGTTGCTATCGAAGTCCAAAGGGTAGGCTCAACAGAGCAAATTAAATGTGCAGTGCCTTCGGAAAGTATTCAGACCCCTTGACTTTTTCCACTTCGTTAGGTTACAGCCTTATTCTAAAATTGATTAAATTGTTTTTTTATCCTCATCAATCTACACACAATACCCCACAATGACGAAGCAAAAACAGGTTTTTAGAAATGTTTGCTAATTTATAAAAATAAAAAAACTGAAAATATACATTTACATAAGTATTCTGACCCTTTACTCAGTACTTTGTTGAAGCACCTGTAATGAATACTCAGGGAGAAAAAGGTGTAGATTCACGCACAGAGCGCGGCAGGTGTTTATTTCACCTTCGCAGAAGGCAGGAATCGTGGTCACGATCAAGGATCTCTCTGTACTTTGCTCCATTCATCTTTCCCTTGATCCTGACTAGTCTCCCAGTCCCTGCCGCTGAAAAACATCCCCACAGCATGATGCTGCCACCACCATGCTTAACCGTAAGGATGGTGCCAGGTTTCCTCCATACGTGACGCTTGGCACTCAGGCCAAAGAGTTCAATCTTGAATTCATCAGATCAGATCATCTTATTTTTCATGGTCTGAGAGTCTTCAGGTGCCTTTTGGCAAACTCCAAGCGGGCTGTCATGTGCCTTTTACTGAGGAGTGGCTTCCGTCTGGCCATTCTACCATAAAGGCCTGATTGGTGGAGTGCGGCAGAGATGGTTGTCCTTCTGGAAGGTTCTCCCATCTCCACAGAGGAACTCCAGAGCTCTGTCAGAGTGACCATCGGGTTCTTGGTCACCTCCCTGACCAAGGCCCTTCTCC